ACGACATCGACATTCGTCATTCACACAAAGGTGAGTCCCCTGACTCTCCTTCGTCCTATCCCATCTCGCTAACAGCCACCACGACATCACATGACGATGACGAGTGCATTGTCCCTCCCCCTTCCCTGTCCCTCCCTTCCTTTTCCTGCCCCCCTTCCTTTTCCTGCCCCCCTTCCTTTTCCTGTCCCCCTTCCCTGTCCCTCCCCATTTCCATGTACCCCCCATTTCCCTCCCCCCTTTCCTGTCTGTCCCTCCCCATTTCCTTGTCCCTACCCCCTTCCCCCATTTCATTGTCTCTGCCCCCTTCCTTTTCCCTGCCCCCTTCCCTGTCCCTCCCCATTTCCTTATACCCCCTTCCCTGTCCCTCCCCATTTCCTTGTCCCTACCCCCTTATCCATCCCCTCTTCCTTGTCCTCTTTGATATGCACTGTATGTAGTAAAATAGACTCATGTCATTAATAAAATACATTAAAATTTGATCTATTGAGATGAATGATTTGACTAGGTGTGAATTTTATAAGAAATTCTGAGTATTGAGTTGAATCAATGCAGATTAAGTCACCTGACCTCTAGATCAGTGCTGATCCATTCTGATTGTAGATACTCTGATCAGAGCATGTGGGGGAGGGTAAAGTACTGCTATTTATGGTGGATTGTGGTCTTATTCAACTGGATTCCGCTGGATTCCGCAGGACTCTGGTGGATTCCACAGGACTCCGGTGGATTCCACTGGATTCCGGTCCCATTCCACCGGAGTCCTGTCCCATTCCACCGGAGTCCTGTCCCATTCCACCGGAGTCCTGTCCCATTCCACCGGAGTCCTGTCCCATTCCACCGGAGTCCTGTCCCATTCCACCGGAGTCCTGTCCCATTCCACCGGAGTCCTGTCCCATTCCACCGGAGTCCTGTCCCATTCCACCGGAGTCCTGTCCCATTCCACCGGAGTCCTGTCCCATTCCACCGGAGTCCTGTCCCATTCCACCGGAGTCCTGTCCCATTCCACCGGAGTCCTGTCCCATTCCACCGGAGTCCTGTCCCATTCCACCGGAATCCGCAGGGATGACTGGAGTCTGACAGGAATAGGTAGGGCACAGTAAAGTACTGGAGATTACCTCCCCTCTGACTTTCATTTTTTGTACTCATTAGATGTTTTTGAGGCCTCCTACATTAACAAGTATGCCGACCATCACGCACATGAAATTTGTTTTTAACTTCTATATCTTTTACTATCTAATAACTAATTGTAATTGTGGACTTGGGATTTACTTGGGATGCTCAGCTCTTGGACTCTAACTCATGGTTCGCAACACAAATCAGTGTTGCTTGGGGGAGGTTGTATGATTTTGGGATGTTTGGCAAGCCCCCCAAGCTCGCCAACCATGCCAAGCGTCGCCAAACAATTTGCGGTCTTGCTGATGTTTCTAGCCTTACCTGTACCCTTACCCACAGAAACACGTACCCACAGCTGCAGGTACGGGTTTTGGAGGGTATGGGTTGAGGGTTTGGAGGGTCTGGTGGGTTTGGCAGGATGGGTATATTTTACAAGTGCTATATATTAGGTACATGTAAGTATGCAGGCCCACACAGCTACAATGGTCATCATCACACTAGTAGCTGCCATTTACATTATGTAAAACCTGGCATGTACCATAGAAGTTCCTGCTTAGCTACCGTGAATGAAATGAAATGAAATTTCATTCATTCATGGCAACTGTTTCATTCCAAGTCATTCTCATTCATTGCCGTTGAGAATGAAATACTTTTTGTTTCATTTCATTTCATTTCAATTTTTTCTTCATTTCTACTGACAAGAATGAAATTTATTCTGTTTCATTCATTCCTGGCAACTGTTTCATTTTTTTATTTCATTCCACCATGGCAACTGTTTCATTTTTTTGCTTTATTCTTCCATTTCATTCATTCATGGCGACTGTTTCATTTTTTTTTTTCATTCATTGCCATTGAATTTTCATTTCATTCTTTCCAGGCAGTTATTTCATTTTTGTTTCATTCTTTCAGGCAACAATTTCGATGTTTTAATACACATATAAATAAGGAAATAATATACAATTATGCCTGATATGTGTTGTGCCCTACTGCAGTGGTGTGGGAGGCCATATGGGGGTACTTTTGCATTTGAGGCTCAAATACACAACAAGATAGGCATGCTGTTGCCAAATAAGGCACTTAAATATTTTGTATCAATTACATAATCATTTTCCCAGCTCTAACAATGAAATAGGCACCTGAGAAGAATGAAGCAAGGAATGAAACAGTTGCCATGGTGGAATGAAATAAAAAAATGAAACAGTCACCAGGAATGAATGAAACAGAATAAACTATCTAGAATGAAACAGGTGCCATGAATGAATGAAAATTCATTTCATTTCATTCATGGTAGCTAAGCAGGAACTTCTATGGTACAGCTCAGGAGTACATGATGTAAGTGGTAGCTACCAGTCATCATCACATCTCGAGTGAACCACCATCAACAAGTGCTCCCTCTCCAAATCCCTCGAATAACCCTTATCCCACTGTTCGTATCTATCCTGAGATGCCGCTGCAGAAAACACGCCCTCCAACAATGATTGTGCGCCAGGGAAAGGAGTCCCACCACTCGATGTGGAGTGCAAAATCGAGGACTTCCAATGACTGGAATATGATGCTGACCTCTGGGGGGGGGGGATGTTGTATCTGGTCTTTCTGTGAGTTCTGCATCCTGCTCGCTTGGCAAAGGTGGTGACAGGGAGATGGGATAACCAACATTAATGATAATGGTCGGTGTCGTCATTCCACAGCGTCCTTGTCCCGTCGTTGTACCATGTCCTCGTCGTCGCATCTTCACCGAGTTGTTTGTGACTCTTCATCGGGTTGTAGTTGTCCTGTGTCCTCATTGTCATCATCCCACGTCGCTGTTCCACTGTCATCCTGTGTCTCAGTGAAGTGAGTGAGGACGAACATGGGAGGGGGGGTACTCACCATATCCTCGTAGTGTTGTCATCCTGTGTCCTTGTACTGTGTGCTCCTCATCGCGATGTTGTCCTCCCATGTTGTTGTTCTGTCATTGTCCTGTGTCTCAGTGAGGTAGATTTGGATGAATGTGGGATGGGGGATACTCACTGTGCAGTCCTAGAGTAAACAACGATGAACGTTGTTCGTCATTTGGTTGCCACGTCGCTGTTGGCAATGTGGCACATTGTCATTGCCTCTTGGCATGTGCCCTGGTCTGCTCATTGTTGTGTGCACCGTTTGTGTTGTCACTCCATGTTGTTGTGCCGTTTTGTTGCTGTCGGGTCATAGACGTCGTGATGTGTCATTGTTGTTGAATCATTGTCGTGCCGTGTCGTCATCTGGTCTTCCTGTGTCTTCTTCATTGTGTTGTCATTGTTCTGTGTCTCAGCGAGGTGAGTTGGAGAAGTGTGGGATGGGGGTTACTTACTGCGTGGTAAGGGGAGTTGACGGACAGGTGTTGGGTGCAAAACGGGGGGCCAGCCTTGCCCTGTGATAGGGTGTGGCGAACAGCGGCTTTGGCTTCTGCAAGGGATGCGGCGGTGGGTGGGATACATGCCCGCTTTTTGTGCTCATTTTGAGCAGTTGCTAGACATGGAGTAGTTAGTAATTAGAAAATAAGAGTGTACCACTCTGTTTTCATGCCATGCCATCTTGTAGCCATGCTGTTAATGTGCTGCTTCATTGCCGTTGCCTCGCGTCAATCTGGTGGGTGCTTGTCAGCTGGTGACATGGCATTGTAGTGTTGGTCTTGTGGTAATGGGCCATGCCAGGGTGGTTGGCGAGGGTAGTTGTTGTCACTGGCAAGGGTGGTCGTCATTGGTGAAAGTGGTGGTGGGTGGGCATCGTGGTGGTTCCGTGTTGTGGGCTGCTGTTGACACGCGTCAACCATTTGCTGGCAAACACCAACGTCTGATTTGGGTGCAGATATAACTACGGGTACCCGCCAACCCATGCTGAGGGTATGGGTACAGCAAGGGTCAGATAAATCCAACCTGTACCCGTACCCTCACATACCATTACCCACAACCCGCATGGGTCACGAAACCCATGACAATCACTAGGCAAACTATGGTCTAAATGTTCAGGTGAGTCCTTGAAAGAAAAAAATTGATCTGCATTTATCTTATTTCTAGATTGGAAATGTGCTGTCAAACCTGTAGATTATCAATTATTGTCATGGCTTTACTGGATCTGCACATGATGCTGCAGCATTTGAGCATACCTGTGCTTTCAAAAATCCAGGCTTTCTCTTCAAAGATGAGGAGTTCGCCTTGGCAGACTCTGCTTATATACTTCCCCCAACCATGATTCCTGTCCATCACCAACCCACTTCATTTATTCCTGAAAACACAATTTTCAACAAGTTTGTATCTCACATATGAGTCTGCTCTGAACATTGCATGGGAGCCCTCAAAGGTCGCTTTCAATGTCTTTGAGGCCTACATGTTAACATTTTCGACAACTATGATCACAAAATGGCCTGTTGATGGGTCAGTGTTGCAATTATTCTTCACAACTTGATTATTGATGTTGAAGGCCCTGACTCTGGTGGGGAATTCATGCCTAATCACACAGCCAGTCAAGAGGAAGAGGACACAGACATAGAAGTTGATATGAATGTGGGTGAAGCACAAGGCAAGGCCAAACACCATTGATTAACAGCTGAACTACTAGCTTTTAAACAAGGATTGTAGATAAAATAAATATTAATGAGTGGTCTGGTTTTTAATGAGGATTGTAAGAAAATAGTAGATATTAAAGGGTGGTATCCTGAGATGGAAGGGAAAGACCATTGGCAATGGCCCAGTCAGGGCTTGAGAAACAAATAGGGGAAGAAGGAATTTCAATAGGAGATGAATGACGAACTGGGGTCTGAGGGGTCGGAGAATGGGCACAAGCTTGCTTGATGGGGCACTGAAAATCCTCCTCATGTCGATCAATGTCATTAAGCTTGCACTTTGCTTCCTCCTCAGAATAGACCTTCAAGCAATACAAATCAATGATCTGGTCACGTTGCTTGTCAATCTGAGAAAGCTGTTCCAAGAGAAAGCACTTCTTCTCAATGTGAAATGTGGCTGCTGCACATGCATCAGCACTCTTGAGACTTGCTCTGAAGGCTATTTAGTAATGACAAAATATAACAATAAATTTGCTTACTTGGTTGTGTCTGCAAGCCTATCTTCAAAGCTCTTTTTAGTAACATGTTGGATCAAAGCTTTAGCCTTCTCGATGGTGGCTTCTGTGACCATGAAAGAGGAGTCTTTTGGGGTGTGCTTCCCTCCAGTTGTTGGTGGTGGATTGGTGTTCTCTTTTGTATCATTTTCCCCAGAAACCATGGACGGCGTATGCATAGGAGTTGCAAGGACTTCTGTAGGGGTTACAGCTGGAGCACCTGTTTGCTGCAATGGTAACTCTGCTGCTGTAGAAGAGGAGGATTGATCCTCAATGGCCTGGAAGTGGACAACATGCTGGCCAGTTGGACCAACACCAGTCATGACAACAGGCAGTATGGCATTAGGACAGCCACACAAGTGATGGTGCATCTTGGGAAAGAAGGGAAACCCTTCAACAATTTTCTCTTTGAAAATGTAAGCATCTGAAATTGACAGTAAGTACCCCAGAGATTTTGAGCTTCAGAAGTCGTGCCCTTGTCAGGTCCATCTGCCAGAATGTAACACGCAAGATGCTCCTCCTGAGATGATGGCTGCAAGTTTTCATTGTCATTTCCTTCCAGGCCACTGCCCATTACAGTAATTTTCTTTAGTACAGTGCATAAAGACTAAATAGACATAAAGAATCAGCCAAAAATGCGAAACAAGTAGGAAGCCTGACTTACTCTTCAATCTTTCCCTTTACATGAGAGCCCAAGGTGTCTTCATTGCCTTTGTATGACTTGGGGAACAGCACAGAGGCTATTTCCTTAGCCTTGCTCGACCTGAGAGTTTTCTAGGGGTACAAGTCAATAGAACAACATTCAAAATAGATCTAGGCACATACATTTCCTTTTTGCACACCGTACAATGCTGCTTAGTTCTCCTTCTTTGCCAATCGTCTGAGGAGGCACCAGATGAGCACATTGTTGTTGGCAGTCCAGTTGATAGTCCCAAGTTTGATTCTTGGTGCGAGCCATTGAAATAGATAGAATATTATTAAAGAACAAGTGCAGTTTGGATGTGTATGGGTATAATGAGTACAGGCTTAATGTAATAGAACAGGAATGGCAGGGAGGGAATGATGGGATGGACAAAAACACATGGATTTGCAATGTGTGACCAAGTGTGACCACTTTCCAGATATGCAGATAAGCAGTCTATTGTGAGCTCCCCTACTGTATTCACTCCCTTGTAAATATTCTTCATCTTAGAAGTATATCAGTGCCAAATCTGCCAAAGCGGTCACTTATTTTACAGAAGATGTACTCAGGTGCTTATAACTTTGCACAATATGCATTTGGGTGTGCCTTTTGGCCATCATCATGTGATGACGCTCCTTTTTAAGAATTAAGGTTTTTGGCAGAAAGTGATCAACTCTGGTACAGTCAGGTTGTGGGAGAAAGCACATGCATTCCAAATGGCACCTGCACTCAACACTTGCCTGCAAAAAATCTTGGATCTGGAAATTTTGGCAATTCACCAGTTCGCTGTTTCACACAATTCAGGATAAGTCAATAAATCTAGTTATTTGCTTGAATTTATTATTTACAGAGTGAATTGTAAATTGTGTAAATTATGGTATGGGCTAGATTTCCTCTGTGTCCCTACTCTGACACTCCCTCTTGCCTTCTCAGCTCCCTCCTGCCTCTCACCTCCAACCTCTCCAATGCATGCTCAACCTCACCAGCCCACCAATATGTTGTTTGAACTTTCGGACGCCACAGCAATCAACCTGTTGCTAGCTCCATGCCTCAAACAGTGAGAAAGTTGACAGACCCATAGGCACAAGAGTAACACCTGGACCAGCGTGTTCGTGCACCAGGGTTGGAATGATGCATCTGGGGGAGAAGCAGGAGATCTGCCAGGTGAGTCCTGTATTTCATATAGAACACCCTCATTGCTAACAACAGACACTATTGGAGATACAAATCACTAACCTTGTCTCCCCATCACCACCTGCCCATTGCAGCCTCATCCCTTCCAATCAATCAAGCACAGCCCCTCATCCCATATCAGTGCAGCTTGCCAAGTGGCACAAAACAAACAACACAGCAGCTTCATCCCTTCCAACCAACCGTCAAGTGCGGCCCCTCTCATCCCATATCAGTGCAGCATGCCCTCGAGATGTGGGGATCTCAAGGCCAGTGGTGTGTAAGGGGGTGCAATGCCCTTGTGGAGGGGGGACTTTTATATTGATTTTATCTTACATATCTCTACTTTGTCCTACATACAAGAAAGATAAAGAGGAATTGGGACGTCTGATCATTCGCCGATTCACTGATTTGGCGAATTGCTGAAATTTCCAGATTCCAGATGTCCTCCTCACCTGCACCATGCTCTCCCATGCTGCATAGTGCTTCCACTTATCCAAAGTACTACATACTTATTTCTTTTTCAGCTTTGCCAGAGTAGATCCTCTGTCCAATATATAGCTATTAACAAGCCTTTACTTAAGTATAAATTAAAAATCTACCATTCTGCAAGCTCTGCAGATGTGCATGCAGTGCAACAAGTGCACAACTACCTAAAATCACCCACTCAGTCACTATACGAATGAAAGACAGCATTTATCCTACAACTGCACTAGATACAGACACCAGAATTCACCAGGGTTGAATGTGGTCTGTGCCAGGAGGTGATCACTTTGACCACCCTCAGTGCACACAAATCCATAGGCATAATTCCAAGTGCAATAGCACTGCACTCAAGAAGCAACAAATCATCTCATATACTAGGTATGTGTCAGAGTATACTACCATTTTCTCTCAGTTGCAACTTTGTGTATAATAATTCCCTACTATTTCGTGCTCAGGCTGAGAATACAACTCACATTTCACCCCTCCTCTTTACCCGCACCACTCAAATATTTGTCCCATTTGCTAGCATTCTTATCCTTCCAACCACATCTTTGTGCTTTCATAAAAAGCCTTGCTGTGATTTGTTATCGCTGAGCCATTTGGAATGCATGTGCTCTCTCCCACGACCCAACTGTACCAGTGCATTTCACAGATTTCTCTGATGATGGCCCCCTAGTGAAAACACAAGTACAGAATGTTACATAAATTGAATAATGTGGCTCATCACTCAGCCTTTGGCCAGCTCCAAGTCCTTGTAGCTGTAGACACATACAGTTGAGTGCAAAAAGAATGAAGGTTGGTTCATTTTTCTGGTTCTTTCTAAGAATCTATTGTACCTCAAATGTATTTGTATATTCTTTTA